CACGACGCCTGACAATGCACTTACGTGACGGGGCACCTCTGGACCACATGCGACAGGAACACGACATGACATTGACACGACAGCAACTGACAGACAGCACTGACATTTTACGGACGTGCAGTGACAGAAGGCGCCTTCAAATTTGGGAAAGCATATTCATTAACGAACTCTCTACGGCCTTAAACAGACAGACAAATTCTTGCAGAACTCTTGAGCTACTAGGTGGTGGGCGGTGAGCACTTCTGATGTGATTGTGACAATAGTTTTCCCATTGTGTCTTTGTGATGTTCCCATTATGAGTGTCTCTTACATGTATGAAGATGAAAATAGCAATCCGTCTTACTTCAATTAGCTATGCTTCATTTATGTTCTCCGTACCAAAAGAGAGAGAGAGAGAGAGAGAGAGAGAGAGAGAGAGAGAGAGAGAGAGAGAGAGAGAGAGAGAGAGAGAGAGAGAGAGAGAGAGAGAGAGAGAGAGAGAGAGAGAGAGAGAGAGAGAGATGTATATATATATATATATACTATATATATATATATATATATATATATATATATATATATTTATAATTACGGTCATGTTTTCCTAATTTTATAATGCCTAGCTAACCCACAAACCCGTGCAGGATTCTTTCTTCCGGTGCACACGGCGCCAAGCAAGCTGTCCATAAGAAATACGTGGGTAGAAGAAAAAAAACACCGTCAGGAGAAAAAAGACAAAGTTGCTGTGGCGTCTTCTCTTAAAAACATTTGGGATGGCGCCATTATTTTTTACGGTGTCGTATTTTTTGCAGACAGTGACATTCTTCTTGCAACTTTGCCCATGGCCTAGATATAAGGTTAAACGTCCCGTTGACAAGGAGTGCCGCACAACCCGAAAGTGCTCACGCTTACGTTGACGACACGCATTCAGCAGCGAAATCTTTCTAGCAGCCAATCGCCTTCCGCGGATGGCATCATACAGTGTCCTAGAATTGCCGAATTTGGGTGTAAAGCAACACCCTATGAGAAGGATTTTTTTCACTCCTTTTACCCACATTTTATGTGAATTTTTCACTCCCGCCTGACATTGTCTAATCGCACATGCCAAACCCCTATTTCCCTTTCTGAGGTTTTCAGATGTCATCCAAAACCGAGCTCACTTGAAACCACCAAACATAAACGAGGCTCCGCAGAATCTGGACACCTATGGCTACGTCCTGCCTCACCTACATCTGAATCATGTCTATGTATGCACAGAGCAATGGCGCCAGGTACCTCCCAGCCCAAGAATACCAGCGACTCCACCCGCTTGCACGTATTAAGTTTGGTTTGCTTACAAAATGCATTACAATCGGCAGCTGTGTGCCAAATGCAGGGTCTTCATGCATCCCCTATGTTTTCGTCTCACCACCACAGCACGAAAGCAGAGCCTGGTGCAAACACCAGCCAGGCCTGGTAGATAATTTTAGTCCTCGTATTTCTTTTTCCCCGAGGAAACTTGACCACTTAATTGCACCACCCCCGAAATGCAGAAGAGAAAAATTAAAAAAATGTCTTCCAAATTAAATTTACAAGATGAATATCACCATTTGAACACTTGTTTTAGCAGATTTTAAGTCACATCAGCTGATCACAAAATTTTGCCAGAAAGTATCAGTCTTTAAATTTATTTAACTACTTTTATTTTTCTTGGTATGATACGAGTGTAATGTCAGTTTATTCTTCCTTTCTTCAGATTGTCTTCGGAGGTACCATCTGTTGCTTAAAATGTTGACCAATTTCTCTGCAAGATTCTCCAATTGCAAACTTGTACGTATTTCATACATGAATTGGATTAATTCGCCAGCCGCCCAAACACGTTTGAAGTGCACCCAAGAGTGAATAATTCACAGCGAATGAAGGAGACAGTTTGAAGCATGGAACTTATTTTTAGCGCCATTTTTGCCCCGTTAACCTCCCGTTTAACCATTTTCTTGGTTCATGGCGGTGCTCGATAATGATAAATCTAAGCCTTTCGAGTGTCTAACCCACCAGGCTACCCGACAAGGTCATCCTAATGCTGCCATACAGAGCTTTGGAACAGACCTGGCGCAGCTAATACAGAAGTGTTTGATGCGAAATTCTGCCCTCTGGAGATGTTTATCATGCACACCCCTTACTTGTTTCGCATTTCAGTCTCGTAGATTGGTGGGCATGACTGATATTTATATTAAGGGGATGAGTGGGATGACCCTGTCTGCCAGCAGACCATGCAAAAGGTGTTAAAGTGCTGTGGAAGGGAAGTGCAAAGTACAGGATCAAATTATTGGTGTTAATAATTATTTATGCTCATTACGCTGTCATGAAATTACTATACTTTAATGCATTGTGTTTCACTTTAACGGCTTAAGATGTTAAAAACCAAAAAGTTTTGTCAGGCTTATGATATTACGCCCATGCCAGCTTGAAATAGATGTCTTTGATTGCTAAAGCATCAGTCACGAGCTCACAAGTTCCGTCTTTTGTGACTTTATTTTTTCACTCCTGCACGGTCTTTTTGCGATGAAATTGTTTATTCCCACCCTAGTTCAAAAGCAATTCTAGCTCGCTGGTATCATATGTGCCGGATCATCGCTTTTGTGAACATATGATCTTACCACGTTTCTATGACATCATCATTACGGAGGTGGTTTTGAAATAGTTCCTTAACAAGCCTTTTGCCACTTCTGCGGGCGTGTAACTCAGGAACCAGAGGGCTTTGGATCTTAAAAAAGGCTTGGCCGTGAGCTGCATCAAAAGGTCCTCAAGATGGCTCTTTCAGTTCAAAACCCCATATAAGGGTGGAAAATTCCCTTTAAACTTGTTCCTTGCTGGCACGGCCTGTTAACTGCAATAAATCATCGCATGTCAAGCATGCGTTCAGGGCTGCAGATCGAAGATATGTAAATGGATACTTTGAGCTCACGAACCATTCAGCCCTGGATGATGAGTCTGGTTATGGAAACCTCATGCATCCTGTTTGGAAAGTTTAGATGCTTATTATCTTTTGAGAGCATGAATCTGACGTACACTGGAGCTGTTCATTATGTACAATGCGGCTTCGAGAAATAGAGACTGCGTTCCCCATTGGCAAACGCCATTCACAAGCTGCTACCCATGACGTCAGAAGTAAGTGCATCACGACAGCTCTTCGGCTTGGAGAATGACCGCTTTTTATGACATAAGCACGTTCGACGTCTTAGGCAGCAACTCGAGCGGGTATTTTGCCCACGGGAGACGCGGCCCGGTTGGTAGATAGGGATACTGCACCGTTGAGCACAGCTGCTCTCCGGTACAGTATACCTTCCATCGACAGAATGCCGCAGGGTTCCCGGTGCCAGCGGCTGTGGCCGCGTATAACCTCGTTTCAAGGACCCTTCCTGGGGAAATGGTCTGTTAGTCCCGGTCTTGTGTGATGTGCAACTTTATGCTGCACAGTGTGCATCATCGGATCTAGCTGTTGTACAAGCGCAGGGACTAATTAATATGCGATGTGAGATCACAGCACCCCGAATATTTTAACTTTATGGGATTGGACGATTTGTGTAGTTCTGAATTCTAAGGAACTATTGCTACAAACCTGCACCATTATCAGCATAAAACAGATTCCCATTAGTTCCGATCGTAAAAGCCGTAACTGCCTCTACATTCAAGTTTTCGTTTTCAATATGAGTGACGGGGTCCTTAATAAGCTTCGGGATTTGTAGAATATTTGAGGACAGTTGTTGGTCTAGGTCCCGCTTTAGGACGTAAGTGGTTGAAAGGTGCGCGCCCGGAGAAATACACGGCCTCCCTCATGCTTGCCCAGGTCCCACACTCTCCAGGGTTCACACTGCCTCCGATCTGCTAGATCACCCTGTTGAACATTGGGTGTGGTCGGACGGTCTGGCCGCCGCATCGCGATTCACAGACACGCCGAGCGTCGCCGCCTGCAACACCGTGTCTAGACTTGGAGCGATATACTGTGCCGGACGGCACCCATGATGGTAGGTGGTATGTGATGGTCGGCTGTGACGAAGCGTATACGTAAACCGCGGCGGCATGTACGAGTCTGGGATCATTTTAAGGATGAAGACGGACCCGATCCGAATCGTTGCGCAGCTTTTTATGGAGTGCCAGCGGCTGCGGAGGCCATATTAGCGCTCAGGGACCATGGTGAAACCGGAATTAGAACCCGCCCCCCCCCCCCCCACACCACATGGGAGCAGAAAGCGCCGACCTCTCAGCCTACCACCCCTCAAATCTAGGCTTAGCTCACGTCCCGTGTTCCCCTAAAGTTAACCTCGGAAATTGACCATCCCCTGCCAGAGTTCAGAGAGTACAGCCTCCTTTTTTTTAGTCACCAACGGCCCCAAACAAGGTATGATTAGCGGGATGACAGTCAGATATTTTTCTTCGACCTGTTTCGAATTGAGTATGGATCCATGCTTTCTTTGTCGCAAATGACCCTGTCATTCATTACGGACATTTAGGCGTTCCATGTAAGAAATTATAGATTTGGGATATGACAACCTCGCGTACGCTACGCGACAGCTCTCACTGATTTTAGATCATATGGATGGAGAGATTCCAAGCTGCGTAACTACGAAGTGAAACATTTAACGCATAAATCGCGCGTCCCTTTCAAATCCAGTCTCAGGCTCGTGTATACCGTGCAGCACAACATGTTCGCATGCTGTACAGTTTGAGAACTTTTCAGGACTCAGTCATCTTCCTCAAAGGCGGATGCTGTTCACGAGAGACCACTGCAGCATGCACAGCAGCTCAAACAAGTATCTCTGACGCTAAGGCGAGCGTTATACGAGGTCAGAGTTCACACCTGGCTCTGGAGCATGACCCTTGGAGGCACATACCACATCACCGTAAGCGGGCGTAGCCACTGCCGCGCCCACCACGCAATGCCACACCCATGAGACACCACCCTCCCTCCACCGTTGACTCGGTCTAACCCGGCTGCATGCGGACGCCCCTGGGCCTGGGGTAACATCCCCCTGGGCTGTTACCGTCGCAGGGTGTCGAGCGCGGCGTTCAGGCCGTGCATGCGCGTGCGCTCGCGGGCGTTGGCCTTGGTGCGCTGCGCCTTGTTCTGCGCGGTTCGTCCGGTAGTCGCCGGCTGCTGCCTCCTGAGGAAGAACACGGACCGTTGAGCAGTGGCGCGAGGCGGACTCGGGACGGCGCGGCAGAGTCTGGAAGGCGCACCTGCGCGACGTAGGGACGTAAGAGGGATTCAGAGCAATTCGAAGGACCACGCCCTCAACGCATCTTTCGTACAAGCTTGTTCTCATCATGGCAGCGACCTTGAAGCACTGGTGAGACGTTGAATGAGTGCTTCATTTTTGTAGGGGGTTTTAAACTGAAATAGCCACTTTGAAGATCAATTGATGCAGTTTACAGCATTGCCCTTTGTAAGACCTATCCCCTCTAGTTTCTGAGCAACTCACCCGCGAAAATGTGCAAACTTTTTCGGGGAAACTTTTTCAAGGTCATCCAGGCATCCATGACGCTATGATAACGTTATTCAAATTCTGCCAATCCATTAGCCATGCCGCGATCACAGCCGATAAATATGTAATTGTTATGTCGTTCATATCTGGCGTTGGTGAACACGATTTCCAGATATCACAGCCGTCAATTAGTTCTCAGTCAATGTTGTGGAAGATACGATAACGTAAGGAAACAATGACGCATTCAGTAGATATTTACTAAACAGAGATCTTGTGTTATCTGTAGCAGTCTTTTCCGCTTAAAAATGTACCAAAAGATCTAAGTGACCTCATTTCATTTTATTTGATGAAATAAGCTCACCTCAACGTCTTCAAATGTGGAACATTTCTTTTAAACACACGAGGGGGCCATACGAGGTCTCTCATCATCAAACGTGCATGCTTTCCAGTCTTGAGGACATCACGTATTGAGCACACCATGGCACGAGCGGTACATTGCGGGGCTGTCCGGGCATCCGTGGCTGTGAGGCGTTACCACCCCTGTGGGACTCGTCACCGCCGAGGAGGTCACGGGTCTATATTCGGGGGAGGTCACGGGTCTATATCCCGTTGTTGACCTAGAGAAAACTGGAGTGGCTCGGCGTCTCCGTAGGACTGTTCCACACCACTCGTTCGGCGACCCTCGCATTACGTTCCGCGATGTCGCTCACTGCTGTTTCCTTGAGTGGACGGACGGCCAGTGCGCAGCGCAGAAGAGGCTCTGTGAGCTCTGCTAGCGATGTCTACCTCGCAGCTCTGTCACCATCGGCGGCGAGAAGAGCGGCAACGCTAGTGCGGTACGAACCGGTGCACGGGCAAACGACAGCCAGACCACGCTTCAGCGCATGTTCTGTTTTCAAGGAGCTACCGACAGGAGGTCAGCTTGGCGCCCACTGAGAACCCGTGACTTCCGCGTGTTGACCTGCAGTAAAGTGGTGCTGCCTGGCGCCGGGTGGAGGTCGTCAGTGCATCAAGAAGTCATGCCAACAGACCAGTAATGCAGGGCACTGGATTGGTGTCGGTAGCTGGGACATCGTCCCAGAGAAAGCAAACCTTTTTTAGTCTAACCGATGCGTTCTGACGGTGTCACAGGTATCATTGTTTGAGCTGCTGCTCGTCCATGGGTACCGGCTAAGGTGCGCGGGACGGGGAGGCAAATGCCGCGGCACCAATAACGCGGATGCACTTGGAGTACGGGCTGTGGTTGGCGATTTCAGTGCAAAATTCCTTGGTGTTTTATGCCTATTCTGGTCATCTCCACGCTCCTAAGGGATTGATCCACATTTGCCTGGGATTTTGAACTGAAAAAGCCATTTGAAGATTATTCGGCGCAGTTTGCAGCCCTGCATTTCTTAAGACCTTAAACCATTTGGCTTCTGAACTACGTGACCGCAAAAATGGGCAGACTATTTCGCGCAATCTTTTCAGTCATTCAGGCATGCATGACACCATAGCAACGTCATTCAAATCCTGCTACCCCATATTACATGCGGCGCTCAAGGTCAAGAAAAAAGTTTTTTCATGTAATAGCTGTGCCGACCGTGGGGATTTCTCACGTGACAGCTGTGCCGCCCGTGCTGTGTTTCACGTCACAGCTGTGCGCCGTGGTACTTCTCACGTGACAGCTGTGCCGCCTGTGCGGTTTCTCACATGACAGCTGTGTCCCGTGGTGTTTCTCACGTGACAGCTGTGCTCCTGTGGTGCTTCTCACCTGACAGCTGTGCTGCCCTTTGTCTCGTGTTTTTTTGTCTTAGTCTCGTTGGTGGCGTTTTACACATAGTTGTTTACATCTGACGTCAAAACACAGTCTTTGAACATTTGGACACCATTATGGCGTAAACTCACTACACCCATTATATAAACACATTCATGATTCCTCTTGACTGTGCTTGTGACGGGTTATAAACTGTGAAGGGTTTGTGGGATGACTTCTCACGTTTGGCTTCATATCAGCTCTGTTCTTTATCTTCTTGTGTGTTTTTTTATTCTCTGTGGTGCAGGTATTCTTAGGGATAATCTGTCAGTCTTCCTGGTGTTTCTTACCTTACAGCTGTGTCGCCAGTAGTGCTGCTCACCTCGGCGTCCTCACCCGCCGACAGCTCCTGTAACGGCCGTCGGCTCTGACTCGATGCCAGCCCGGATCCCAGCCTCGCCAGCCATGGTCCATGGTCGCCAGCGGATCCCAGCCCTCGCCAGCCATGCCAGCCTCGATGCCAGCCATGGTCCAACCCGGCCGAATTAACTGCCGCCATGACCATACAAAGCCTTTGGCCGAATCCGTTTTGCTGATATATTGCTGTCATGAACACGCAAAGTATCTGGCCAATTCCGTTATGTAGAAAATGTGCCATAGGGCTGCGGACTCTTTTTGGCACAACCGATGCTATCAGGCTTCTGTGCAACCACCACGGAGCCGCACTCGTCGCCCTGCGACCGCAAAGACCGCGAACAGTTTGGTGGGACCACCCTGTCTGGGCTACTTCGTGGCCTGTCAGCAGCCACCGCAGGAACCACTTGATAAATATAGAACAGAGCTGTCTGTTGATTGCTTCAGCAGCACGATTCACTTTTCAACACAAATGATGCGACAAAATCGTGGCGGACCTTATCAATAAGTTACAGCATTGGCATTGACTGGTCCGCCGTTAAAACCGCAAGGGCATTGCTCGCAGAACAATCGCTTTGCGAAAGGGCCAAACCACATGCCATTCTGCACGGACAAAACCTGGCCCCGGCCGCACAGACCCGGCTCCACCGAGCTCCGCACGGCTTCCTTCTTACCTTCTTAGCGGGCAGGCCGCGGGTGCCGGCCCCCATCTGCGCTGATCACAGGCCAGGATCACCGTCCGTCACTGGCTGGCCGCCCCGTCGTGCCGTCCGCACACGGACCGTCCAGATAACGACGCATCCCCGCCGCCGCCTCATATCGTCGATACCGATAGGGCGCGATAGCAGCCCCGTCGACGCCGACGGCCGCACCGTCCCCCGGTCAGCGGCAGGCGCCGCCGTAATGTACCGGGGGGTGACGCTGGAACGAGTGGGAAAGGCAGCTTCCAATAAAAAAAACAGTGGGTGATGGGTCGGGCAGCACAGGTCCTCACTGGGAGGCCGAGGGCTCCTGCTCAACACGCCTCAGGGCAGAAAATCGGCGGATCAAGGAATGTTCCTGCCTCGCAGTCAGTATTGACGCGTCAACCGAACCCATTATTTTGGTCTCAGAAAGGAAGAGTGGTCTGCTGTTTGTCTCTGCATTATAACATTTAAGCCGAGGATTCATTAACCTGGCTTCTCAAAAAACCGATATCAATAAAAAAAAACTGAACAACGCAGCTGGCGCCTATTAATACAGCAGCCACCCAAAGGCACCATGCTGCGATAAAGAAATAAGAAAGAGCAAATAGCGTGAAAGATCCTTTGCGAAAGGTATGGACCATGCGCCTCCCGCCGATCTTCTGTGCGGATTTCAGCGCCATGCATCGCTGTCGTACCTGCGGGAGCCTCGTATGTTTTACTTTGCTGAGCGATGTATATGCGTAATTTAGTAATTGTAACAGAAAGTACGACAGTGAGCTGACAAAATTACCATCCCTGAAGCACGTGTGGACACCAAATGCACCACCGACGACAATTTCAAACACAGCCGCGCTGAACATTCCGAACGAACACCATTTCCGTGTTTTCCGGGTCTTGGGTTCAGGACGCTCGTCTGTTTCTTGTAAGTCCCGATAAATTTCCGGCGGGCTCCGGCCGGGATAAGCGCTGAGCAGCGGCCGGCTCGAATGCGCGCGCCAAATCCCGCAGCCGATTGATGCTCCCTGAGGCGGGCCGGTGGTGGTGGGGGCCGAGCCGACCAGCTCTGGTCGTCGAGACGGGCCGATTGTCGAATGAGACGTCGGTACCGACCTTGGCTTTGGCCCACCTCACACTGCATGCCGCGCTCGTGGCAAACTCGAAATTAACCATTTCCGCGCGATGCTTGTACATACTTTATAGCATATATATATATATATATATATATATATATATATATATATATATATATATATATAGTGTGTGTGTGTGTGTGTGTGTGTGTGTGTGTGTGTGTGTGTGTGTGTGTGTGTAAATATATACCTGTACACACTTAATAAAGAGTGGAAGGTGATGAAGAAAGTACCTGTAACAATCTATAGTGTACATATATATATATAAAGATATATATATATATATATATATATATATATATATATATATATATATATATATATATGTAGCTACCACCAGATAAGTCAACGCGCAGGCTTGCCATCTACGAAGGAGCTCCGTTTAGACCAAATATAAGACCTAGCTGCCAAGACAGTGTGCCTGAGAAAACTTAGAGCAAGGTGACTTAACGGTCTGAAATCAGCTTTCATGACACTTGTTTTTCAGTAATTCACCGGATAGCTAATACGTATCACGTGTTCATGAAAAATACATAAGAAAAGAATTACGCTGATATTTTGTATTTTGCCCTGAAACTGCTTGAACCTATTGTGAGTAAATTAGACATATCTGTAATCTTATCACTTAAAGGGGGTGTCTCACATGTACATGGGCTTTTAACTGGAGTAGCCATCTTGAAATAGCCATCTACCTGTCTGTTACTTTCTCCATCCCTTCTCCCGCCCTCTTAATCTCTCTCCCTTTCCAGCTTTGTGTTTGCACTGAGGCCATCAAAAGTAATAAGTACATAAACAATCCATTTGTCACCTTGATTGCATCAACTTTGCATCTTTGGGCAATGCGCGCTAACAATGGCACAACAGCAATGCCGATGCGTCAACAAAAACTTTATAACCGATGGATCCCAACTCAAAAGACCACGTATGCTTCTGAGACACAACGAAACCATGAAACAGCCTTACCGAACATCGTCTCGCTCTGCGTCACCTGTGCAGCGTGTCATCCCGCGCCAGTTCCGCAGCGCCGCACCTGCGCCACATCTGCCGCCGCTCAGCCGAGGTGTGGCACTGCCGCAGGTTCCGCTGGCTGCGCCACGGCGCCTCCGGTCACGACAGCATCTGGGCGGCGGTGATGCGCCGGCCTCGCCATCTCCTGCCGCTGGGCAGCGTCCGGCTCGGCGACACGGTGAGGCAGCGTGCAGGGCGCGACCAGCCGGGATAGCTCGCAACCTGTCGGTCGGTGAAGGCACGACTTGCGAATTAGCCTGGTGGACATACTCGTAAGTGCTTTGAACCGGCCTTACTATTCTTGGCTAAGACGCACTAAAGAATGCTTACATTGAAATCACTTGTTTGTGCCAAATGCGGACTTGAAACGGCTTGTTTGTTCTGTCAGGAAAGCCAATGGCTTCGCCTGACCAAGACTTCACTTTCTCTGAACACGTCAGCAACCTGCTGTCCACGGTAATCTTCGTCCTTGTTTTGATCTGTGAGGGAAGCCGCCATGAACGCGACGTGCCCCGACCAGTGACGAGTCGTCTCCTTATCTCGCCACCACACCTGCCGCTGCGTAGCGTGAGTGCATAACGCCGGGGCGATATCCACACACGTGATGACGCGACCCCACCAGCGTGTGCCGCCTGGCGCCAGGTGCACTGCGAGATGGCTCCGACTGGCGCCGGGGCAATGGCTGGCGGCGACACGCTGCGCTCGAGCGCCACGCCCGGCGGCCTGCGGGTGAGGGCGGAGCGCACCGCGGCCGACGCCGCCCGGCTCGTCTTCAGCGCCACGGCGCCCGTCGTCTGCCGGCGCGGCGCCGCCTGCCGCCTGCGCGTCAGGCTGACGCAGCCTGACGGTGAGTCGGTGGCGCCTGCCGGTACTATGCAGCTGGTATCAGCTGGCGTATTGCAGCTGGCGTCTTGCGGGGCTAAGTCATATCAAAGTCGTAAGTGCCGAGAAAAGGAATGGGCGCGGATGGTGCCCGAACGATGCGGCTCAGCTATAATCGTTATTCGGCGGGAATCGGACGTTTAGTCCCGCTTTCATACAGACAAATATGTTGAAGGATAGCGCGACTCCATGATACGATATTGTTGCTTTTCGGCGTCAGAAGCAGCCGACTAGTGTTGTTTTGTCCCTCACTTGCTCTCGGGCGTGACGGAATAAAGAGGCGTAGATCATGCTATCGCCAGAAGACAGTGTGGACCGCCCTGGGATGCAGGGATAAGCGCGGCGGTAACTGGGCTCATCCTTTGGTATACAACGCCTTAGGAGACATCGGGACACAGTCCGTCTTCTTCCGGCGTGGTGAACATCGGGTCTTTTGAGCCCTTGGTGGCGGACGTTTGGTACGCATGTAGATCCCACCATCGACGCTTTTAAGAAGGGCGACCTGGCATTGAGTCAACAGACAGGCCGGCCGGGCTGAGTCTCCGGAGTGCACCGGCCGAAGGAGCCGTTAGGCGTAAGTGCAGGTCATGCCGGGCACTGACTGTCCAATGATGGGTTCCACCGTCCCATCAGGTGTACTGTCTACACCGAGCCCTCCCCTCCCCATTGCGGACGAGGCGCAGGGGAGCGCCGTCCAAATAGGGAATCGTTATCCTGGGGCTCAGACGGGTGAGCAAGTCCTTGCGCGGTGTCGGTACACCAGATACCCACCCAGTTGTCTAACCGGTGCTCCACTGACAGCAAATTGACCCGATTCGCCTTAAATAGAGTATACACGTAGCCTCCACGGATGCTTGAAATGGACGGAATAAAGTTTATGGAGCGCATTAAGGGCGCGCGCTGAAGTGCCGGTTGTATTGCCATGGCGCTTAGAACGGGAGGCATGTCCTGATGAGGGCGCCAACGGATGGGTACGCCTGGAATCAATGTCGCATGGCGCCGAACGCTTGATGAGTGAGTGGATTAGTCAAGGACTAGGGGAGGGCTCCCAGGGTTAGTACACAGCGGGCACCTTGCCAATTAGATTCGACGGTTGCGCTGAGTCCCAACCGATTTGTGCGTGCGCACCATGGAATTCAGGACGTTTAAATGCCCGGAATGCATCTAGCCCCGTTTTAGTCCCGTTTAGATATTATCACGAACCAAAATTGTGAAGTTGGGATACCGTGTTAGCAGAGAATGTTCCATATTTATATGGGGCTGTGAACTGAAATAGTCATCTTGAAGAGCTTCCGGTGCTGTTCACAACCCTGCCTTTCCTAAGACCTTAGCCGCTCTAGTTTCTGAGCAACACGCCCGCGAAAATGGGGAAGTATTTTAGGGAAGAGCATTTCAAAGTCACCTTGGCATTCATAACGTCATAATGACGTCATAAATTGGGTCATTTCATAAACCATGCGACGGTCAAGGCCAAACAATAGTGTGTCGGAGCGTTCATATCTGGCGTTTGTGAGCACCACTTCCAGAAAAACGGCTGTCAATTGGCTCTCGATCAATGTTGTGCAAGGCGCAGTGATGTAATCAAACCACGACACATTGAGGAGCGTATTTACACAACGGGGGATTTTGCTGTCTAGAGGAGTCCTTTCCATTTAAGAGTATACCAATAATTATAAGCGAGCTTGTTTCGTCATACCTGATGCTTGCGTCAGGACCTTTAAATCTGAAAATTTCCCTTTAAGGGCGCACAACCTTGCGCGGGGAGACAGCCGTTCATGGTGCTTGATCGGTCCTACCATCCTGTCCATTAACCGGCAGCCAGTTTCACCCCAGCTCTTTGAGTCACTGGATGTATGCGTTGATGCCAGGTGTGCCGTAGTCACCGCGCGTCTTTGAGTCACTGGATGCATTTGTTGATGCCAGGTGTGCCGAAGTCACCGCGTGTATGTGTTGATGCCGGGTGTGCCGAACTCACCGCGTGTGTGTGTTGATGCCGGGTGTGCC